GGTTTCATTCCCACTCTTGTCATGAAATCTTAAAATTTGAATTTTATGGAGGACATGGGTCTTCAAGCTTTGAGATTTAAAAGTTAGTAGGAATTGGATACTTGAATCTTGACCACATGAAAATACCAAGACATTACAAATCTTGAATTTGAACCTTTGTAAATTTGAATTGTAAAAACTATAATTCGAGTTTGATTAGGACCACGGGAGTTAACAAGGACATCTTTGAAGCATTGATCCAAAAATAAAAACTTGGACTGAACATATCATTGGAGCTAATCCGAGGATTTAATCAAAACCATATGCAAATACGTCGTCGTTCTCAAATGATTCAATCACGCATGGAACCGTCTGGTCAAAGCCAACATTTTCTTGAATTTATGGTCGACTTAGAAATGTCTTGGTCATATTAAAAATGATGCCATCAAACACCTTAGGCCTTGGATCATGTCATGACTACTTGAGGGTATAGCCTTTCCTTATATCCATATGAGTTCAACATAACTTATAAAAGAGTAGTGTCCTGATGGTCACACACGCAGGGGCTTCTTGACTTTCTATCTTTTCTCAGCAGGCTTACAAAATAAACATAAACTAGTTAAGAGGGTTAGCTATGCACGAATGATTGACCTAAATGATATGCAAATGATCAATGAATCTAAGGGTAAAATTTGAGGTACAACAGTTGCCCCTATTTAAATATCTTCACCGGATGATGTGAGCGATGAAGGGATTTGCGAAATCATGGTGAAAGGTATTTAAATACAGATAACCAGAAATTTTGCCCTTAGATGCAATGATATGCAATGCTATGGACAAATAAACTAAACTACACATGTCGACAATGCTATGAACTCTAACATGATGAACACGATGGAATGATAAACAGAAAAGTGCAGACGAAACGAAAGCAAACAGGGACGAGACGAAACACAATAAGTAACCAACTCACTAGAGATGACAACGCACTGGGGAAATCTAAAGTGATGGACCAACAGGTTCAAGCATGACCAGTTGTCACTTTAGAAAGAAAGACAAGAAGAGATCCTCAATGGAGATGGCACCGGCAAGACGACCTCCACTAGGGAAATTTAGAGGTGTAATTTTACATCTTCAGATGCATCATTGAAGGTACAACCACCAGCTCAACCAAAGTTGGTCGCCCGAAGATGCACAGGTATAATGACGAGCAATCTATCACCAGGAATTGTACTTTGATTGATCTGGCCATCTCTGCAGATCCGAAGGTTACGATAAGCTCAACATAACCCCAAGGCTTTGCCACTGACCCATTAAAACCTTGTAGGTCAGAGCCCACGTAGGGAGTCAAATGTGATTCATCCAGCTGGAGAATGGAGAACAACTGGGAGTACATAATATCGACGGAGCTGCCTTGATCGACGAGGATACTTCAGACATCAAAATTCGCCATCTAGGCCCTTACAAGCATAAGGATGCTGGCGTTGGAGGATCCGCCGCTCCTCGCGGTAGAAGCAAATGGGGACAGACTCTCCCCAGACCCTATCGAGGGTGGAGTTCCAGTTTGAGTTGCTGCTAAGGAGGTACTCAAATTTCCTCTTGATGGATCCTACTGTCACTCTATTGAAACCACCTTCAGAGATGACCATGGAGGAGGAAAAGGTATCCCACAGGCTGTGCGCGGAAAAATATGGAGGGGCGGTGAGCCCCTCGGGAATGCAGAAATCTTTAGGTCGTGAGATGCTCATGGCGACCTGTAGGCTGATTTCCCCGGAGGAAGGCGCTTCTTCCTCGAACTTCTGGGCTTCTCGGGCTTCTGGTCGAGGAGCTTCCTTTCGCTTAGAGAATTGCTTCAGATGCCTGTCCCTGATGAGTATTTTAATGACATCCTTCAGGTGGATGCAGTCTTCTGTCATATGGCCATGGCTCTTGGACGATAACTACTTTAGGAACCAGACCCCTGCCTAGAAAAATTCTGAGTTAGCGTACTCAGTGAGGATCTTCTCCCTCAAAATTGTCAGGGGAATGTATTCGTGGAACCTGCCGAATGGTCCCTTGTTTTCCCGGGTCTCGTGGGGACGGTCTTTTCGTTTTTTATCTCCTCGATGGGATGTCGAGGGCTCGTCAAATCTGGACGGACGGGCATTCTCCCTGTGCCTGGTATCACGAACAGAGTAGGCAGCCTCTTTTTTCTCGTACTGAATGTACGATTGAGCTTTGAGGAGAAAAGCATCCATTGTTGTCGGGGGCCGGAAGCCTACAGTTTTAACGAAGTCTGTGCGGGGACGGAGCCCGCGCTCTAGCAAGAACCTTTTCATGTCATCAGTGGTGGAGACTTGGACGACCTCCTTATTAAATCTTTCAACGTAGGCTCGTAGGGATTCATTCCTTCCCCGAATGATGGCCTCGAGGGAGGCTTCGGTCTTCGGATGTCGGTGAGAGACGGTGAAATATCTGGAGAAGAGTCTCCCTAGTTGCCTCCATAAGGTGATGGAGTCGTCAAGGAGTCCTTTGTACCAGGTCATTGCCCCCTTCCTGGGTGTGGTCAAGAATAATCTGCACTTGATGGCGCACCGGACGCCGCGGTATTCGAGCAGCGCATTGACATTTTCGATGTGCTCGTCAGGGTCGGTTGTTTCGTCGTATGCGCCTAGAGAAAGGGATTTCTCTAGTCCCTTTGGGAGGCGCATGGCTACAATTTCCTGGGACAACGGGCCACGAGACTCGTCGTCTCTGCTGCTGGTGGTCCAAGAGGGGGAGCGGGCGTCACGTGTATAGGTGAGACGGTGGCCTCGTCGTGGAGACGAGGTTTGTTATCGGCCCTTGGATTTGGGTGGTGAACTTTGAGATTCTACCTGGTGCCCTCTTAGGGTCTTCTTGGGTTACAGGGACTGATGGTTCTAGGGAGAAATCTAGTCACATTTGCGGACGATCATGGTCTCTAGTTTCGGAGGCGTCTGACAGTTTCTCTCGCGTCGGGGAGGGGGACTCCATCGTTGCTGACGTTCTTTCCTCGGTGGAGGGGATCTTGGACGATGAGAATCTTCCAATGCTTAAATCCTCACGCTCTGGTTAAGGATTAAGAGGTTGGTTTTGTTGAGAACCTCGAGGAGGGTCGCCATGGTCGGGTCGGCGTTGGGCGGAACTAGAACTGACAAGTGCTACGAGACAAGTGGGGCTTCACCGTAATCTGCACGAATGGGAGATGGAGAAGCTATGGCTCCATCCTTTCATCGGAGGACGTCTCCTCTATGAGAGGTGGAGGCCCCCTCAACATCAGTCTTGCTGACGGGGAGGAAAGCAGAGTTATGAGCATCAAGATTATTGTCACGGGCAGCCATCATCAGAAAAATGAATAATTGTTTTGGTCTTGTGTTCTATGAAGAGAGAAAAGACGGGGATAACAGTTTCCCATAGATGGCGCCACTGATCTTACCAAATGATCAGAACCTGAGATGGGCCAAGGATAAATGTCTATGATGCTGGGTGTGAAAGAGGAGGAGGGGGTGTACCTGCAAGGCACTCCGATGCTAAAGTAAGAAAACGAGCAAGAGAGAGAGAGCAAGTACATAATATGTGTGTTTCAATGTGAGAAATTGGATCCCTGACCCTCTCAAATGAGAGGGTTTTTATAATACCCTTAGCGCTTGGCCATTGGTCCCTATTTTCGGGGCGAGATAATGTTTTCCCGAAGAATAGGTAACTTTAAGAAATAGCCGTTGGGATGGGAAGACGTGCCCATAACTAGTCGTTGGCATGAGCAGGGACGTAGTTACGGGCACAAGCATCTTGACTGTTTCTGGATGGTGGAACCGTGCGTGACAGGCAGAGACTGACGGGAAGAAATGCTATAATCAAGGGTAAATAGGTCAACCACCCTTGTTGGAGGGTCATAAAGGTAAACTTTCCCCCAAAGAGGTTGGACTTAGACAATTGGTTCGTTCTAGGAGCAGAAGTGGGTTGGCCCATGCCTAGCCATTGGGCCAGTCCGAAACACTTACATACATAACCACTCAATAAATAATTAAAACATCAATTAATCAAATAAAGTTCTAAATAATTAAATAAAATTAATTAACTGAATTTGATTCAAACCGTAAAACTAAATGAGATAAAAGAATAAAAAAATATATGACCATTTCTTTTTTTAATATTTAAAATATGCTATTTATATGACCGATTGATTTATTTCTATTAACGGTTAAGATTTGGTGTAGACTTATATCTGATGTCAATGGATCTGATGTGTGTGTATGCGTGCGTGCGTGTGTGTGTGTGTGTGTGTGTGTATATATATATATATATATATATATATATATATATATATATATATATATATATATATATATATATATATATATATATATATATATAATAAATCCGAACAAAAATGTATAAATTTTTGTAAACTGAAAATATTTACAATATTTATATATATAATAAGATTTTGTAAACTGAAAATATTTATAATAAATCCGAACAAAAATGTATAAATTTGTTAAATTGACATAAACGCGAATATGTTAGTTTTTTAAATATTTTTTTACAATAGTATTTTAGGGCGAGAGTGACTAAAATTCTCCTTTATCAGTTTATTTAAATTTAAAAGAAAAACTAAAGGAAGTAAGGCTCAGTTGGCTCTTAAGGTTGATATAAGTAAGGTGTATGACATAGTGGATTGGAGTTTTCTCCGTGGTATGCTATACATAATGGGATTTGCGGAAAGGTGGATTCATTGGATGATGACGTGTGTGGCCTCGGTGCACTATATTGTTCTGGTTAATACGGATAAAGTTGGACCGATTGAACCAAGGAGAGGGTTGAGGCAAGGGGACCCACTATCCTCTTACCTTTTTATTTTAATGTCAGAAGGTCTTTCGGCTCTAATTAAGGGAGTAGTGGCTAGAGACGACATTCATGGGATCTAAATATGTAGAGGGGCACCCACTGTGTCCCACCTTCTTTTTGCTGACGACTATTTTTAGTTTTACTAGGCTAATCTCATCGAAGATAGACATCTTATGAAGGTGATTAGTACGTATGTAGAGGCCTCGAGGCAGGAGATAAATTTGAATAAATCTGAAGTGTTTTTTAGTTGTAACATTAGTAACTTAGCCAAGGAGGATCTTGCTCGCATTATGGGAGTACGTCATGTGTTGGGAACTAGAAAGTATTTAGGTTTTCCCTCTATGATTGGTAGGAGTAAGAAGGAAACTTTCTCTTTTATTAAAGACCGTATCTGGAAAAAAATTAATTCCTGGAGAGGTCGAGCTCTATCAAAAGCAGGAAAAGAGGTTATGATAAAATTGGTGCTCCAAGCAATACCGTCCTATGTCATGAGTCTTTTTATTCTCCCAGATGCAGTTTGTAATGATATCGAGAAAATGCTTAATTCTTTTTGGTGGGGAGGAGGCAGTAATAATAAGGGAATCCATTGGTTGGCATGTGATAAATTGGCTTTCTCTAAGAAGGATGGTGGATTAGGATTTAGAGACTTTAAAGCATTTAATATGTCTATGGTTGCTAAACAAGGTTGGAATCTTTTGTCCAAGCCTCATGCTCTTGTCTCTAGAATCTTCAAAGCAAGGTACTTCCTTAGAACATCTTATTTTGAATCTAATCGTTATAACTCTATTTTTATGTGGAGGAGTATTTGGAAAGCGAAGGATGTCTTATCTTTAGGTTGCAGGTGGAGCATTGGGGATGGTAGTCAAATCAAGGTTATGCACGAGCCTTGGATTAAGTGGAAGAGGGAAGGGTGTTTGAGTGGCCCTCAGAAGCAAAATGTGTATGATATTATAGTTAAAAATCTTATTCTGCCTAATGAGAAGCAATGGAATTTGAGGATGATTAGGGAAATGTTTAATTGTGCAGAGGCGGAGGAAATCTTATGGGTCCCCCTTTTGAATGAGGTTAAGGAGGATAGGATGATCTGGAAGGAAGAACAAAATGGGTCCTACAGTATGCGTTTTGGGTACAGGCTATGGAGGAGCTTATGGAGGAAAAATAAGGATGAGGGTGGGACGAGGATTGGAATAGTCTCTGCAATATTAAAGCCCCTTCTAGGGTTAAGCATCTATTGTGGAGAATCTGTAAAAAAATGTTTTACCGACTCGTGTTAGACTTCAACAACATCATGGGCCTTGTCCTTCTACTTGTCAATTCTGTGAGAATAACCTTGAAGACGGTTGACACCTGTTTTTTGGTTGTGAGGAGATTAACCATTGCTGGAGGGCAGCAGGTTTGTCCATTCTTGTAAATGCTAATTTACATTCTTTTTACGATGATAAGTCTTTGATATTCGATGTTTATAGCAAGGAAGATAGGAAAGAGGCTGGTAGATTTGTTGTTATGTTAGACGAGATATGGAAGAATAAGAATAATCTCATTTGACAAAATGATCATGAGGAAGCTCTTAAGCTTGGGTGGTTAGCTTTCCACTGGCACAAATGATTTTTGGCCCAAAAAGAGCTTGATCGGGTTAATAACCACAAATTTCCTACTAGTTGGAGCCCGTCTAGGGAAGAATGATTGAAATGTAATGTGGATGCAGCATTTAATAATCATAGTGACACTTCTAATATGGGTTGGTGTGTTTGTGATCATATAAGGAGTCTCATTTCTGCAAGTGTGTCGTGGGATCCTGGAATTTTATCCGTTTATGGCTGAAGCTTTGACTCTCAAAGAAACTATTCACGAAGCTATTGAATTACAAAGGGAGAAAATGATTTTCGAAAGCGACTCTCAGAAAATAATTCAAGCTATTCAATCCAATTATAAGAGTAGATCTGAGTTTTATTTTATTATTAACTATATAAAAGCTTTGTTGTTAGTTAACCTAGACATAATGCGTTTAATTTCATTTCTCCATATATTGAACATTTCTTAATTAATGATATGCATTAAATTTAAGTTTGTTTTGATAAATAAAAAAAAATTAATATGTTATCTAACGGAAAAAAAAAACTGTTTTTGATGACTTATTATAGAGTTTCTTTTATAAATTATATAGATTTCGACAATAACACGGCCTTCTTTACTTACCTAAAGACTTTTTTTAACAAAAAAAAATTAAGGACTTTGGATCTAACTTAGACTTGGTCGTTATAAATTTTTTGACTAATCATTAAAGTCATATCAATTATTTGACTTGTTTTTACTTTGAATTATTTTATTTATATATTAATTAAATAAGCTTTTATTATAAAAAAGATAAATTGATAAATTAGTGAAAAAATATATTAATCATTTAAAATAAATTTATTTTGTCATCTAATAAATAACTTATATTTTATTAAAATATAAATATATTCTGAATTAATTACATAACATAATTAATTAATAATAATTTTTTAATAGACGTCATTTTAAAATTATTTTATATTATTTAATGAAATTCACTTGTTAAAGTAAATATTTTTATTTAAATGATAATGTATAAATATCTATTAAAATGGACATTACTATTTTATTATTTATGTTCAAATCTCTGAGTAAATGTTAAAATATTTAAAAAAATAAAAAAGTAGATAAATTAGATTAAAAACAAATTAAAAATTTTGAAAGAAAATGAAAACATAACATACAAAATTAAAGTTGTATATTTAATTTCTTAAATTGTATTATTAAAAGAAAAAATAATCATAACTTTCTATGTTTATCTCTTCTAAATAAATGGTAAATAAAAAATAAATAAATGAAAAAATCGTGACTCATTAAACAATTCCCCTATTAACAATCAACTAACTTATTCCCTAATCCCTACCCTACCATACCCTACCACGCAATCTCTTACTCCCACCAAAAGTATCCACCTCACGATTTATCATCATGTGCATTATTAAAGAATCTACGGTCACAATTTCCAGCGTGTATCATACGACCAAGTACCACTTCACATTCACATTGACCCATTCCAAAATTCCATAGAATATAAATTTAATTTCCTCTCTCTCCCTCTCTCTCTCCGTTGAAACTTTTACTAGGCTTAAGATTTTTCTCTCCACTTCTCAACTTCTCTGAAGCATTCATCACTTATCAGGTAATTAATTATTTATTTATTTATTCCTTTATGTCACTTTTAATGGCCTTGTTGTTCTCTAAATTAATTATAATTGAGTATTCATTTAATATAGTCAATGGGTTCAATCATGTCAGTTTCTGCATTACCGTATCAATTTGAATTGTTTAACATTATGTTATTAGATTGATTGGTTTTGATGATTTAGTTTTGAAGTTAACATTTTTGTTTTTTTGATAGATTAGTTTAATCTGCTAGTATTTCTGTGTGTTTTCCAGGGATTTACGGAAGGTGCGGTTTGACTTTGTTGTTAAGAAAAACGTGGTTTTGTTGTGGAGGTTACGGAACGTTAGGTTTTTGATTCATTCATCATCAACAACAACAACAACGTTTGTATTGTTGTTACATCTACGCTACTTTATGTTTGTTGTGTTTTGATTTTGTTTTTTTTTTTTTGTTTTTTTCGGGTGGTTCTAACATCGAATGGAATTGGATTTATTAGCTCAGATAAATTCGTTCTTGCCTGTTTTTGATTGGTTTGAATGTTTCATGTGGGAAAATTTTCACTTTTTATGATTTAAGTTTTGTGCCCACCCAGTGTTTGTTTGTTGGGTCTGAATAAGTATAGTACTTGTGGAGAGTATTGTTTGAGAATAGAGGATTAGCCTTTTTGGTTCTGAGTCTTATCAAGATGGATGAAGGTTGTAATTCTTGGGTTAGAAGGACAAATTTCTCTCACACAGTTTGTCACCGATTGGATTATTCGAGAGTAGGTTCTTTCATCATTTGGCCAGATGCAGTGCTGAATTCAGGTCTGAATTCAAGGACAGTATCATCAATATCATCATCAGCATCAGCATCAGCATCTGCAGCAACAGTAGCACCAGCATCAGCTTCAGCAACAGTAGCACCTGGATCAGCACCTCCTGTTGTTTCTAAGGTTTCAAAGGTTCAGAGGAATCCTTCAACAAATAAGCAGAGATCTGTGTCTCCTTTGCCTGAAATCTATCTCTCTGAAACCTTTAAGGAAGCCAAGAATGAACAAAAGAGGTTCTCGACTCCAGGTCGTAGGAGGAAAGAACAGGATACGAGAATCATGGGGAAACTACTGAACAAGGATTCTCAAGTTTCCAGATCTAAGTCGCCTCTTAAAAGTCCACTTAGGTACTTTGGATCAAAGAACAGTGACAAGTCGAAGAACCGGAAGGACTCTGGATGGACAAAGTATTTTGACCATGGTGGAGTAAAGGTTACTGCAGTAGAAACGGCCGAGGAATGGAATGTTGACCTCTGTAAGCTCTATATTGGTCTTAGGTTTGCTTATGGAGCTCACAGTAGGCTTTACCATGGTAAATATGAGGGTGATCAACATGTTGCTGTGAAACTTATTAGGGTACCAGATGATGACGAAAATGGAATGTTGGCCGCTAAGTTAGAGAAGCAATTCATCACAGAAGTCACGCTTTTATCTCGCCTCCACCACCAAAATGTTCTTAAGGTAAGTCCAACCCCTTCCCGTCGTTTGTATCAGCTTTTTGTTTGCTGTTGAGTTTTTTTATAGATAAAATACTCTACTTGTTTGTGTCTTATTATGTTGCTTTCAAGCATTTTTAACCTCAATTATGATAAGGTTGGCCAAAACAGGATACACATGTCATAACTTTTATCCAAGAACATTGTCGCAAGCATTTAAAATGTAGTTTTTAGCTTTGTGCAAAGCTATTTGTTATTCTTGTTAAATACATGGTCGGCATAATATACAATATTTTGTAATAATCATTGGACTTGATTCTTTAGTTTTGTTGAAATATCTAGCTACAAAAATAAGGATACTATTTTGTGCATTCTTTGTTGTATATTTTGGTCTGTTATGTAGTTCATATTTCACTTCATGTTGAGAAGTTTACTATAACAAGGAAGGTATTTAATACAGGGTTTCTCATATATCTTGATCTGATTATGCAGTTCGTAGCTGCAAGCAGAAACCCACCTGTTTATTGTGTTATCACAGAATATCTCTCCGAGGGTTCCTTGAGGGCATATTTGCATAAGTTGGAAGGAAAAACCATGTCTCTACAGAATCTAATTGCTTTTTCTCTGGATATTGCTCATGGAATGGAATATATACACTCTCAGGGTGTCATTCATCGAGACCTTAAACCAGAGAATGTCCTTATTAATGAAGACTTTCACCTTAAAATTGCTGATTTTGGTATTGCTTGTGAGGAAGCATACTGCGATTTACTTGCTTATGACCCCGGTACCTACCGCTGGATGGCACCAGAGATGATCAAACGAAAACACTATGGGAGAAAGGTTGATGTGTATAGTTTTGGCCTTATCTTATGGGAGATGTTTACCGGTAGAATACCATATGAAGATATGACTCCCATCCAGGCTGCTTTTGCTGTAGTATATAAGGTATGCTCCTTTGCTATAAAGCCATGTCATTTCATTTTCTATTAGCAGTTTATGCAATCTGATTTTCAATAAAAAGAATTTCACTCTCTTAAAAGTAATTTTCTACAGTTTACGAATGCAATTCTAATACTCCTGTGATTTGGTGTTCAGAATTCAAGGCCTGTTATTCCTCTAAACTGCCCACCTGCCATGCGAGCTTTAATTGAGCAATGTTGGTCCTTGAATCCAGACAAAAGGCCCGAGTTCTGGCAGGTTGTTAAGGTGTTAGAACAGTTTGAATCTTCGCTTGCTCGTGATGGAACATTGACCCTGCTGCAAAACCCTTGCGAGCAGGATCATAAAAAAGGCCTTCTTCATTGGATTCACAAGCTTGTTCCTGCTCATCACAATATTAGTCCCGTGATTAAACCAAAATTTACATGAATCTTCTGAATGTCCTAACTTTTGTAGTACACTAGGTTCAATGTAATTAATATTGAATAGTTTAAATACCAATCCTCTACAGAAAAAGGTTGTTTTTGGTTTTCTGGCTGTAGTTCTCTTTATAGCAACATTCATATGAGAGTTGTAAATTGATCTATAGTATTAGCTTTTTTTGAGCCAACAGTTATATGTTTTTATTTCTTTTATAAGCCTATAAGGTACTTTGTCTATTCTTCAATACCAGTTTTATTTCATGCACAGTTAGGCTACTGTATGCATGTGACATTAAAGCTTTCTAATGTTAAATGAATTTTCACTTTTGGGAAATGCAGTGTACTCTGCCTCCAAGATCCAACAACTTATGGATTCAACTAACATGACGTTAAGTTATTCTGTCAAAATTAATACTAAAATATCATAAAATTCATTAGTTGGTTGTTGTTTTGTTAAACTTTGTGAACTAGTCACATTCATTACGCTTTCACTATAAACTGTATATGTTGTGAACTTGTGATTATGTATTGATTTTTAACACTTTTACATGCTTGAGTTATGTACAATGAATCTTGGAAGAGGTTGTATGTGACTTTCAAAATTCATTGGATTCGATGGACCAAAATATCATGTAACAAGATTTTTGACCAAAATATCATACCAAAAAAAATTACGATTTTACCAATTAACCGTATTGATTATTGGCTGCATTTTCATTATCATAATATAAAGTAAAAATAGTATTTATAAATTGTTATGCATAACATTAATTAAATTCTAAAATTAAATGGAATATGCTAATATGCCCTCTAAATTAGTAAAAAATTCATATTCTATTTACAAAATTTGCACATATTTATTTTCAATACATACTTTTTACTTTTAAATTCTATAATACGTCCGATTAGGATACAAGCAGAAAAATCCAAATTATAAAAATAAGCCTTTAAAGTTTTATTAATAGTAAAAATAATCAAAATTTTAAAATTAGGCAACTAAAGGATTATTAAAAAAATTAAAATTGACAATTACTTTGACATAATTTTTCTTGCACAAATGTGATCAAATTGTGAAGTGTGAAACTGACGGAGTAATAATACAAAAAGAGAATAGAATATACTACAATAATTTTAAAAGGAGCTTCAATTTAGTGCATATTGGGAGAAAGTTCAATGGGCAGCTTCTTCCAATAAGTGATTTGGTGGTGGGTTGAAAAAATACGTGCATATTGGGAGGGTAAGACAATGAACAATGAGTTTTTTTAATTATAATTGGATTAAGAATATTATTGTCTGTTTATATTTTATTATATATTAATTAATATTGTATGTGACATTTTTGTAATTCTAATAAAAATCCTAACCACTTTCCTTTTTTTATACTATTTTTAATGTATATGGTATTGGTTAAGATAATGTGAATCTGATTCAAGTTCGATTAGGCCATATCTCTTTTTTTCTTCCTTTTCTGTTTTGAATTGTTATTCGTTGGTATATTTGCATACGTTTCATTATCCTAATATCCTACGTGAGTGCCTTTGGATTTGTTGTTGTGTGACTTTTGTTGCTACGTGAGTGGCAAGGAGTGATTAAGTGTGTTTCTACTTAGTACTACTTCCTTGCCATTCTCAATTACACATCATCATCCTAAAGAATCACTTTTTTGAACATAATTAATTATAATGGCTAATGATAAAGATGATTATCTTCAATATATTAGTATTCAATTGAATGGACAAAATTATTCTCATTGGAGTTATGTAATGAATCTTTTTAAAGATAAGAGAATGTGAAGTTATGTTGATGGAATCTCTGTTGAGCCTACTACTGATAAAAAGGATGAAAAATACGAGAAGGATTTAGAAACATGAGATGAGATGTTAATAATTCGAAGATTCTTACTTGAATTAATAATTCTGTTTCTCTGTTGATAGGCATGCAACTTACAAATATGATACTGCTAAGGATGTTTGACATCATTTGAAATGTTTGAATGTTACATCTAACTTGCAAAAACAATATCAGTTAAAGATTCATATTCAGCCCCTAAATCAGAACAATATGTCTATTCATGGATTTTATTCAGCCATCTCTAATTTGTGGGATCAATTAGCACTCACTGAATCTCGTGAATTGCGAGCTTTCAAAGCATACATTGATCGTAGAGAATAGCAACATTTGATTCAATTTTGATGGCTTTTCGAGATGATTTGAAGGACTTTGTGGGACTATTCTGCATCACACTCCTCTTCCCACTGTTGACTCAATAATTAATGAGTTGTTGGCAGAAGAAATAAGACTTAAGTCTCACTCTCATTCGCAACATGAAAGAGAAAATATCTTGCATTCTCCATATGTCTTTGTTGCTCCTTTTAACAAAGAAAAACCACAAGGAAAAGTTAGTATTGATGAATGTTCTTTTTGCATGAAAAAAGGGCTTTGAAAAACACAATGTCCAAAAAATTTAAAGTCGGGGAGAAAGAATTTTAAGACTCCATATTACATGTTATTGTTGATGCTCCTTCTACAGTTGCTCCTCCTTGTTATGGTATTGGTCATGAATACTCATATGAGACTACTTCTTAGGTATTTGATCTTGCCGAACAGTTTCAAAAGTTTTTTGCCACTCAACCAAATGTTATGTCTGCCTCATCTGTTAAAAGTTTGACCTCCTCTAACTTGTCAGGTATATCTTATTCCATGTGGATTTTTTTATTATGGTGCATGACATTATATGTCATATCATCACAAGTCTTGCATATTTAAATCTTACATCATTCATGCCTGTCTTGACTGCTGATGGTACTCCTATGCCAGTAGCAGGTGTAGGGTCTATCTCCATAACTAACTTATATTTATCTGATGTTTATTATATTCCTAAACTCACTTTGGCCTTACTTTTGTTAGTCAATTGTGTGATTATGGCTATTCATTTATGTTTTCTTCCACATCTTGTTATGTGCAAGATTCACAATCCAGAGGAAGATGGGGACAAACAATAAACAGGGGGGGCTATATGTTTTGGATGACTTGAAAGTTCCAGATGCTACAGCCTTAACATCCATTGCTAATTTATCATCATTTCGTTTAAATTCGTCTTATACTAGTTTTTATTTATGACATTCTCGGTTTGAATAAATTAAAAGTTAATAAATAAGGGTATAATATTGAAAAAATAATAATAAATGTTGTATTGGTATTGCAAAGAGATATTTTGAGACGGGGAAAAGTGCAAATGAGATACTTTATGAGATGGGGGGAGTATTACAATGATATCACTAGAGGAATGATCACTTCAAAGACATAACCAAATAAGATAAACAAAGTTGCTTAACTCAAACAATTGAAACACTCAACATAGAAGTATAATGATCATAATTGAAATAATGATAATTTAATAGGTTTGGTGCATCACAGACCTACAGTTACACAACAAACCACTATAAGCAAGATCTAAGTTATATGACATACAAATGATGCTAGGATGCGACAATTACATGATAAATGAAGAAAATTAAATAGGGAAAAAGAGAGAAAAGGGTACACGGAGATATATAGTGGTTCGGAAATCGTCATCGCTATGCCTAATCCACTCTTCAATAGTTTTAAAACCATCAGGAAAATAACCACGTCTTCCACTATTTCAACAATTAATATACACATATTTTGATACAACGAACTATCGCCAATCTGAATACTAATAGCCAAACTACATTAGCCCACACAAATATCAAATGATAATCCCATCTATTGATGCAAATACTCAAAATTTACCATTCAAGATCCTCAATGATCTGCTTGATTCAATAATCTTGCTATCCATAATAACCTACTCCAAGCTTCAATTATGCAACATCCTTTCCTCAGATCTGACGAAGAATTTTTCGAGTGAATTCCATTAGCCAACCATAATTGGATAACTCCAAACTTTATTCTAGGACAACCTTTACTTGGTTTCACCAAATTCTCACTACTACAAAAAGCACACCTTACCTCGGATGCGAAGTGGATTTTACCTCGTTACCCAGGCTAGGTAACGAAAGGCAACTTGAAAAGTTGCCACTTTACCCTTAGACTTTGGAATAACTAAGGGGGAAAATGTCGAACCTGTAACTGCATATTCATTGAATCGTTGTGATATAATTTGTTTTTTTATTCATATTTTTCAATTTTACAGTATTCCCAAATTTTAAACCTGAATATTTCTAAATCATATTGTTGTGAAACGGATGTCTTGAAACAAAATATAAACGGTTTCTTTATGATCAAGAAACACACAAGGGTTAGGGTTAACAAAGAAAATAAGGTAAAACAACAAGAAACAACAAGGATTGGTTATAAACTGCTATTATTTTCTTTCTCTTTGAACAAGATTACAAGTATACAAGAATAACAAAATAATCTCTCTCACTTGAATTAGGATTTTATCTTCCTATTTTTCCTTATTGACAAGATGAGAGACTAGCATGTTATTTATAAGAAAACTAACACACTAACCTAATGGGCTTTTTAACAATTACCCATTACAAGATAACTTAGCGTACAAGCTAACTTAAACAATTGGGCTTACAAGCAAGACCCAATTCAACATGCTAACAAACCTAGCAATATTGATAACGCATCTTAGAATAAACTTCGACTACAACAAGCATTACTCGCGAACAGACTTCGACAACATACTAGAGTTCGATCCAATATCTCACAAATCTCCACCTTGGATCTAACTCTATAACATCAAGCACTTGGACTTCTCCATGCTCGCCAGCAACTGGGCAATGTCTTAGTGATCATATCAGCAGCATTATGATATGTCGAAACCTTCAGCACTTGGACTTCTCCACGCTCGATTATCCCTCTGACGAAATGCAACCTCACATCAATGTGCTTGGTTCGCTCATGATAAGATGAATTCTTTGACAGGTGTATTGCACTTTGACTATCACATTTAACAGTGATAACTCGACCTTGAAGTTTCAGCTCCTTTGTAAAACCTACAAGCCAAAATGC